AAACTGCGGTCGGGTAGCCGTTTTGCTTTCTTGTCCCGGTGGTTTTTCTTCACTTTTAACCTTGTGGATTTAATTCAGGGGGAGAATATTTAAACATTTCATGAGGCGATTTATTATACAATAAACCAAATAGATATTAATTCTTTTTCTTGTTAAAGCTCTTGCATGTCTTATCTAGACTTCCGCTGAAAACCCTATGCAGTTAATCACTTTTTAAAATCTACAACTGATATATCTGTAACTATACAGTCGTATATGTGTTGTTGTATATGTACGCATGTGATACACAGGCAGTTAACATATACACACATATAAGTACAAAGAAGGAAAACTTTCCAATCACATCTGTAAATGGAAGGCCCCACAAGAATGGCCTAGAGCTTGATCACCAGAGAGCTGGCCCAGAGTATTTACTGGGTGAATAAATACAGCCATTGGTGGAGTGGGACTAATCATAAGCATTTCTGTTCTCAATTGAAATTATTCTGTGGTGTTTATTTGATAACTTAGAAAAGCCTTTATGCTAGAATAAACATCGAGGGGGTATATTTGAAGAAAGAAGAAAACATTCTACGTATTAAAGTGATTTTCAAGGGTCTGGAATTTCAGAGAATCTCTCACAGGATTAAAAAAGATGCAGAGACTATCTATTACTCAAGAAATATGCCCTAAAATCTCTAAGTTATACATTTGCTGAACAGCTTCTTTTTGATGTTAAAACAAAACAAAACGAAAAGCACAAACCCTCCAGCAGAGGAGAGCTGGAACGCATGCAAACAAAAGCCAGACCTGGGGCTGAGGAGGCTGACCCTGTGTGTTCGCTGCAGGGCATTTCCACTCAGAGCTGGCTGCATGTGACCGACAATTAGAAAGAGGCAATTTCGGTGCCTTCCTAAAGGCACTGAAATTTACAAGTGGCTTACTTTCATTGGAATCTAAAGATTTTGTATAAAAAGGAATTTAAAATGTGAGAAAAAGAGGTTTGAGATTGAAGACATGTCTGGCACAGTGCTCAGTGCCGAGCTGGAATTAAATATTTCCCGAGTGTGGAATGAGTAAAGGACTGGCCACGTTGCAGCCAGCGAGCTCCGTGCCTGGTGCTGCCAGTCTGTCGCACCGTAGCCGGAGCGAGCACGCCACACCCAGCCGGTGCACGCCGAGGCCACGCAGCGTTGCCGAGGCCTCTGCCCTCGCGTGCACAGGACAACAGGTCACTTCTAAGCTCCTTCAGCATCTTCCTCTCTGCCATCACCGTGCCTCGGTCAGGGACGCCTCTTATGCCTCCGTAGACACTGTGCTGCTCCTCACGTCACTGATCGTGTTTTGTAATCAGCACTGATTTTCGTGATGTTTGAATGGGCCGCTTTGCTGGGGCGTAGGCTCCATGAAGGCATGGCGACTTGGTCACTGCGGATCGCTGGCACTTGGGGGGTGCAGAGGCTGTGGATTGTGCTGGGTGCAGTTTTTTTCCCGGTTGTATACTTTATTTATTTTATTATGTCATCATATTATAGGGGTACACCTGAGTGCAAATTTTAAGATGCATAAGGTCATTGTGACATTTATGGCCAAATTACAGTGACTCTGGGCTTTCAGCACCTCTGGCCCCTGACAGCGCCCGTCAGCTGGAAGGACTGGCTCTGCTGTCCCTGAACCGCCAGCCGTGGCTGCCGCACTCTCTGACCGACGTCACAGCACGACTGGCGCCAGGTGCCACGACTCCACGCAGGCCACAAACTGCCACTGCCTGTGCCCAGCCCAACAAAGGCTCCTTGCCAACCACCTCTCCAGGGTTAGACATCAGCCGAGTCCGGCAGTGATGCTCGTTGACTTTTATTTCCCATCTTTGGTACAAAGTATTATTAGCAAAATGCCCTCCTTCTACCATGACAAAACTCCACATTGGGGGGGAGGTGTGTTAGCAGACCCCAGAGGCAGCCCCTGGATCACACTTGCTCCGCACGCCGGTCTGCAGATGCCAAGCGTGCGCGCTGAATCCCTGGGTCAGGGCAGAAGCTCCAGCACACGCACCACCGCAAAGACGGAGCCCCCCGTCTTCCATGCTGACTCTTCTCCTGCGTTCTCCGTCAGCTTTTGAACGGCAGTCGGCAGCGAGCCGGGCAGAGGATCCGTCTTCTTTTCTTTAATTAACTTCTTGGGAAATTTGTGAAGCGTGTTCCGCAAACCCGCCTATATCCCGTTGGAGCCGTGTGCTTTCCCTTTCTATTTTATTCCTATACCCACTTTAGACACTCTTCATTTCCTAAGTCAAGCCGAGAAACACAATTCATTGTGTGAGGGGGAAGCTACTTTCTGGGAGCTTCGGTTTGTTAGCGCGTGTGCCTGTATGTGCCGTTACATTGAACATGCATGACACAGCATAGACCCTATCAGAGAAACGCCACGCAAAATGCTGAGGACGCAGTCTGCGCGCGGGAGTCGGGGCCTTGGCTCCAGGCCGGGGTGCGCGGGCGCCTGGGCGAGCCCGGCAGCGCCTCGGCTGTCTCGCCCGCACACCCGACGGCACCAGGGCAGAGCCTGCAGAAAGCCAGAGACGCTGGGATGGGGATATTTCTGAAGTGTTTCCTCCAACCCAGCAGTCTCCACCATTCCGTGTTGGCACGAGAAGACCCCAAGCTGCCATTTGAATGAGAGGGGATGCATAGACTTATTTACAAAGTTGTCTAATTCAAAGAAAAGATAGGCATTTCTTAGTGGCTTATGAAGCGACCTGAACTTACTTCACTTTTAAAGACTATGTAGGAAGGAGCCCTCCTAGCCTATCTTTTGGAAACTTGTTCTTATGACTCGGAATCAGGGGCACACTTCTTTATCTACTTCATAAAAAGTAATCTAATGCTATTTAGGGTAGTCTAAGCATTTGGAAATATGAAATTCATCTTGCATGAGGAAAGATGTTAACACATTGAATTTCTGAGTTATTCAATTGGAGAAATCTTTGCTAAAATTTAATAAATGCCATCAGAAACTCCAGAAATGTAGTCTACAAACCAGAGTTCTGTTTCTCTTAATGATGGAGAAAAGAAAATTACAGACTAATGTCCCTAAGGAACATAAATAGAATTGTCAATAAAATATTAGAAAGCTGAATTCAGCAATATACAAACAGGATAATAGATTATGACCATAGTTTATTCTATAAGTATAAAGTTGGTTTAATATTTAAATATCAATCAGTGTAATTTACCTCATTAACAGAATAAATGCAGAAAATTATATGATCATGCCTATAGATACAAAAAAACCCATTCATTAAAGTTGAATACTCATTCATGATAAAAAATTGCAATGTACTAGGAATAAAAAAGAACTTCCCTTAGCTGATATCATGCTTAATGGTGAAATATTGAACATCTTCCCTCAAAGATTGAGACCAAGGTAAGAATATCTATTCTCATTTCTTGTATTCAATATACTGCTGGAGATTCTAACCAGTGCACTAAGGTAAGAAATATAAGTAAAGAGCATAACAATTGGTAAGGAAGAAGTAAAATCATTTTATTTGCAGATGATAGTATGCTTTACATAAATATGCCAAGAAATCTCCTAATCAACTGCTAGAACCCATAGTGAATTCAGCAAGGTGGCAGGATACATGACTGATATACAAAAATCAATCATATTTCTATATACTAGTAGTAAAGAAATGAAAAATAAACCAAAAATATTCCCTCTACAATAGCATACACACAAAATAAAGTGCTTAACAAGTTTGAGAAAAACATGCAACACCATTGCACTGAAAACCACAGAGCATGGCTGAGAGAAGGCCATGTAGGAGCCCTGGATAGATGGGAAGTAGTAACCACGCTACCATTAATGTGTTATTTCTCGCCAAATTGGTCTATTGATTCATACAATCCAAACCAAAAGCCAATGCACTTTTTACAAGAAATAGACTGGCTGACTCTAAAGCACATTTGGGAAAGCAAAGCACCTAAGAGAGCCAGCACGATGCTCGGGAGGGAGAGGGAGGCAAGAGAAGGACATCGGAGGACTCGCTCTGGGACACCAGCTTTTTCTGTAGACCCGCACTGGCAGTGGGGGCGAGCTGCTGCTGCCGTGGGGAGACGGGGAGTTCAGAAATAGACCTACCCAAACACGCTCAAGCGATTTTTAACAGAGGCTCAAGGCAACTCAATGGGCAAATGGAAGTATTGTCATTGGAATGTGTTAATCATGTGTTCAGCTGTATAAAAGTGTGAAAAAATGACTCGCAATCTTTACCGCTCACAAATATTAATTTAAAATGTATTATAGGCTTAGCTGTAAAAACTAAGAGTCTACAATTTCATTTCTTAACCAGGACAGAACAAGTTCTGGACATAAAGGAAAGTAACTGCTAAATTGGACTTCATCAAAACCAAAACTGCTCATCAAACGAAACCATTAAGACAATGAGAATGCAAGCTATAGACCGAAAGAAAAATATTTATAATACACATTTCTGACAAAGGACTTTTATCAAAATAAATTAATTACATATATGAAAGATAATCCATTAAAATGTACAAAAGACTTGAGCAGACACCTCTCTAAAGAAGACCGGAATGGGCAACAAACAAGCACATGAAAGAATGATTAAGATCATGTAAAATGCAAATGAAAACTGCGACAAGCTATAATTTTATACCCATTAGCGTACTTAAAATTGGAAAGACTGACAGCACCAAATGTTGGCAAGGACAGTCAGTAACTGAAACTCTCAAACATTTCTGGTGAGAATATAAAATGGCACAACCATTTTGGAAAACAATCTGGCAGTTTCTTACAAAGTTAAACATACAGTTGCTTCAGAACCGAGCCATTCCATTTCCAGGTATTTACAAGAGAAATGAAAACATAAAAAGACTAGAATAAGAATATTCATGACAGCTCTAGTCATAAAAGAATCCAAAAAAAAAAAAAAAAAGAAAGAAAGAAAGAAACAAACCAAGTGTCTATCAAAAGAGAATAAATAAACAGTTTGGTAGTCATAAAATAGCCTATTAGTTACAAATAACAAGAAATAAACTATTGACAAATGAAACCATACATGAATTTCAAAAACATCATGCTGAGGGAGATAAGTCAGACCCTAAAAAATGTATACTTTATGATTCCATTTATATGAAGTTCCTGAATAGGCAAATTTAATCTATGATGACAGAGGTCAGAAAAGTGGGTCCCCCGCCTGGGTGGCACTGTCTAGCAGGGCATTGCAGGGCCGCGTGCCCACGGCATCCTACACCTTGACTGATTAGAGTGGCGGATGCTCAGGCATGTGCATTTCTCAAAACTTCAAGCTGTGTTCCTGTGATCCACGGGTTTCCTTCTCTGTGCATTTTACCCTAGTAAAGTAAAAGTGCAATGTTAGAAGTCTGAACTTGCCAAATTGTCTATCAGTGCTCACTTCATTAGGAACTGGAGGGGCCGAGAGGTTCGGGCCTTGGGGCAGGACACAACAGAGCAAGGACACAGGCCCCAGGGCGGAGCGGCATGGCGCTGCGAAGGGCACCGCCAGCCCCGCTTGCTCCCGCTGCCCCAGAGGACCGGCAGTGGTCCCTTCTGTTTGTGAGGTTTGGCTGAGAGGTAAATCACTAGAAATAGAGTCAAATTAAAATGTCAGATATTCCTTTCCTCTATTTTTTCCTTCTTATTTTGTTGACTAGGGAGAGTCTAGAAATATCGGCAATAATAATTTTAGGAGGGACAAAAGCAGAGACCAGGACATGTTACCAATTTTCCCTTTTCTTTTTCTTTTCTTTCTTTTCTTTCTTTTTTTTTTTTTTTTTCCCAAAATTCTTTAGATTGTGAACCCTTTTGACTTTGTTGTACTCCTGGGAGGACTGTGTCTGCCCGTGCACTTCCATGACCCTAAGCTGCTCCTTCTGCTCAATTCTTTATCCTGCTTTCCCTTAAAAAATGGTTTTTCCAAAAACAATTTTAAATATCATGTTTGTCAAACTCACTTAATCTGAAGGCAAGATATTTATGTTTTAGTCACACTTTGTTCCCAGTACCTAGAACAGTGACAGAGAAGGTGATCAGCCGCCCCCACTCCCACTCGCCCGTTCTCCCACGGGGCCCTCCATCTTGACTGCGCAGCGCCAGCCCCCCCAGCCCGGCGCCAGGCACAGGCGGTGGTGGCTGGCGGCACGCAGCACGGGCATTGCTGGGTCGCCTGCGTGTATATGTTCATTCTCCCTTTGTCTTATAGAATGTAAGCTTTCTCAGAGTAGTCTGAGACTAGATTGTCCTTGTTGGAAAAGCATGGTGCCAGGCACAGTGTAAACACTCAACGCATTTTCACTGCAGAGAGCAGGCAAGGAGGAAGGAAAGGAAAAAACTGCACTCACCAGAAGACAATACAACTGACTTCAGGAAAGCTCTGGTGTCTCATTCTGGGTGTAAGAAGGTGTATGTGTGGGGGGTTGTTTGCATCCTTTAGAGACAGCACTTGATGTCTTGGGAGGGTGGGCCATTGCCGTTACCTAGAGAATGGCCGGAGTTCCTCTCCCGGCGGAGCTGTGGTCCCCTTCATCTGAGGCACACCAGGAGGTCTGACATGGCCTGACCATTCTCATGAAGCAGGGGACCAGTTCCAGGGCTTCTCTGGCCACAGTGACAGTGGTTGACTCTATGGCAACCCCACAAGCCTGGTTTGTGAACACTGCCCAGATGTCGACACTTCTTGCGTAGTCCTGGCATGGGCTTGGCATCTCCTGGGCGGGGAGAAAGGCAGTGGTGACCACCAGTCAGCCACCTCCTGGACACCACGGGGAGCACTTGGTGAGGACTGAGCAGGCAAGAAAGAGGTTAGCAAGCACTTGGTGGCAGCTAAGACAGCAACTCAGGAGGTGCCACTGAAGCCTAATTGAAAAACAATTTTTGAAGCAGCTTTGACTACCTTTTGGTGGAGTCTGTTAGCCTGAACCATATAAAATGAGGGTATTTGCTAATTTTTTACTTACTAAATTAGCAATTTCTTATACTTCAACCCAACCTTTATTTTTCAGTCAGTACCTGATCTATTTTAAGGTTTAAGGTACACAAGTCCCTTCACCTTGGAAAGAAAGAGAGGAAGGAAGGAAGGGAGGGGGGGAAGAAGTAAGGAAGGAAGGAAGGGGAAGAGAAGGAAAGAAAAGAAAGGAAGAAAAAGAAAGAAAGAGAAGAAAGAAAGAATTAAACCTGTGAAATCGAGAGTACCATCTTTTCCCTTTTCTGTGTGATCTCGCGCTGGCTGAGGCGTGAGCGTGGGGCTGAGCGCGGGCAGGGCTGGGAGAGTGCCAGGCACGTGTGGAATGCCCTCTTGGTCTCGCGCTCCTTCCTGCCGCCCCGCAGGTCTGTATTTGTGCCAACTTGCTTTTACTTGTCTTCAGTCTCCCTGCGGCCAGGCGGGCCACCACCGCGGAGCTCGTCCATGGGAGGCGTCCCAGGCTCCCGCCGACTGCAGGGGAGCGTGCCGGTGGGCTCTCCCCGGGGGCCGTGGACAGCTGCGCGCAGACAGGCCCGCTCAGAGCCGATGACGGCGCGCCGTGTCATCCGGCACACCGGGCAATTTCCTTTTTGAGTCACTTTTCAGCTAAGGATGAGTCATGCTCCACCTTCCTGTTCCAGCCCTTTCTGCTCTGCTTGCTGGCTCTGCAGCCACGGTGGGGCGGTCTCTCCGTGAGGAGGCCAGGTCAGCCGGGACCTCCTGAGGACGCAGCCCTGCGCCTTGGGCAGGCGTCTGCGCGTGGGCCCTGGTGGGGCCTCCTTCCTGGACGGGCGTCAGCCCCAGGTCCTCGGAGAGCTTGTGCGTGGAAAACGAGAGGCCATGGGAGGCCGTTGGCTAGCAGAGAAACACACTTTCCTGTTCTCTGTGTGTTTTATCATAATTTTAAAAAATCAGAAAGTTGTTTCCTGAGCTTTGTGAGGGGAGAAATTGAATGTCATTTTGCCTGCCCTCCCCTTTCGTGGGCTGGTTGCTTTGTGCTCTGTCATCAGAAAAATAAGATGCATCTAAATCACCCGTCACTGAATTTGACCACAGGAATTTTTGAAAGCATTTTCCATTTTCTCATAGTTTTGAAAAGTATATACTTACCAAGAACCGAGCTTTGAGTTGTGTTGCTTGCAAAGTTCTTTTGTTGTTTCTTTTTCTTTCATGTATTAACCTATAGAAATTTGTAAAAAATTCAATGACCAGTTACACAGTGCAATTAAAGACACGAGTGTGAGTAAGGCCGGGACACAGAGGGCCTGTGTGCGAGTCTCTGGGAGGCAGGAAGGGGCCTGTGGCTGCGTGAGGGACGCCCCCCGCCAAGCCCAGCCCGAAGCCGGGTTGGGAGCGGAGGGTGGAACCGCCGGCCTGAGAGGAGCCCGTGCCTAGTGCCGGCCGCAGCCTTTCCTCGGCCTGGCAGAGCCCTCGGTCCTGCCCCACGGCTCCACCCCCTGCGGTGGGGGCAGGCTTTCAGATGTGAAGGTTTGTTCAGTCTTTAAAGTCTCCGATTTAAAGCTAGTACCCTTCACTAAGGTCACTACGGTGCATTGGGAAGGATGCTGCGGGCTCCAGCGGGCGGAGGGCAGGGAGGGCCACTCGGCTGTTCAGGGGCCTGTCTCTCACCCGTGCTGGCGACCTGGAGTGTGGCCTCCCCTGCCGAGACCCCAGCCCGCCGTTGCTGAGAAACAGGCCAAATCCACTGCGGTGGAGGCCTTGGCCGCCGTCCTGCGCCTTCTGTGGCCTGGCCCGGCACCCCCGCCCTACGCCCGCCACCGTGCCCTCGCCTTTCTCCTCTGCGGACTTTGTTCTTTTAGCCTGCAACTTTCTAGTTATCTCCATTCCCTCTCCTCTTTTTCTAATTGTTGGAATCCTGACCATTTTCAAAGACCATCTATCTATGTATCTAGTCCACAAAACTGTTTCCAGTCTCATAAGTCAACCTAAGTCTTGCATTTGTTTATTTGCCCATGACATCTGTTTTTGTCATGCTTATAACTCTGATGCTTGCCTGCCTGTCAGCGCTATTTGAGGGCCATGGCCCTGACGTGTTCATCTTTGTGTATTTCGTTGCGACTGAGCACAGTGGTTGGAATATTAGAAAGAACTCAATAAATAAAGGTCGAGTTATTATTCCAGGTTCCAATTTCCCCAGGGACTGGGACTGACCCTATCAGAAACACAGACGTGAAGTACTGAACGAGCCTCTCAGAGGCGAGACGAACTTCAGGACTAAAAGACAGGGCCAACACGGCCTCTGGGCGCCACAGCCTCCCCGCGGCTGGAGAAGGAGGGCCAGCGTGGGGGCCTGGGAAGACTCGGGGCCCAGACTGTCTTGTGCTGCTTTGCAGAAGATGCGGAAGCCACAGCCGCCACCCGGATGGTCGCAGGGCGCCAGGCAGCGGAGCGAGCCTTGCTCTGAGACCCCTGCGTGGGCCAGGGACACCCTCCTGTAATCCAGCATTCACTTAGGTTTAGAATGACAGAATCTTAGACTTGGAAGGACCTGAGATGACCTTGTTCATTCTTCCAACCAATACTAGGGTCTCTCCACCTGGTCCGTTGCTCAGTGGCAGGCACAGTCGTCTTTGGCTTCATGCCTCTTCCAGGGTCCCCACACTTCAGGCCACTCGCCATCCCACACACACGGGCCTTGCAGAGAATGTCAGGGACCTTGCATAGATGGAAGCTTACGGACGGTGTGAAGAGTTCAGCAACTTGGCAGGGACACTGTCACTGTCCCTGTGCTGGTCAGCACACTTGTTCTTCAGGAAGGAGTAAGATGCTGAGAGCCGTCCATTAAGACTCAAAAAACAAAAACTGTAAAAAAGAAAAAAAGGAAAAAGAAAGGCAATCTTGATAAAATTCTTTAATCATTCTTAAAAAGAACCCACAAATTATTGATCCTGCAATCTGCTTATAGGGAGCCTTGGATAACAGTTTCCAGCAGACTGGAGTTTAGCACACACTGTTAAGCATCAGTAGTGGGTACTGCAAATGCAAGGACATTTAGAATGTAAAGAATTAATTCATGAGTCTTTCTTGGCTGACTGAGTGTTTCTCACGCAAAGGGGGGTCGATGAAGAAAGAACCTCACTGGGAGGGACAGTCAGCTCTTCATAACACAAGGCCATGACTATTGGCCTTGGAAGGATGATGCATCCATCTGATGTAGCCAACTGGGAAGCAATAATGAGAGAGGGGTCCTTTTAAAAACATGATGCTACCTACCTCTGGAGGTAAATATACGCATTGAGTGTGTGCTATGAATGGAGCTTTCAGAGAATTCAAACGAGACATTTTTCACATCTTCTTATCCTAGGATTCCAGAGCACTGTTGAGAATTTGAAAGAATTATGAAAGGAGGGAGAAGGGAAGCTGGTGTGGACTCTGGGACTCTTGTTCTGTCCTCTACCTTCAGACACCGTGCCTCTGTGGCCCCTCACTGGAGCCATGGCTCCACGCTGCCAGTTGGTGCTTCATCCGCGATGCCGAGAACACTCAGAACAAGCTCAAGATAAAAAAGAAGACATCATAGCCGGGCGCGGTGGCTCACGCCTGTAATCCTAGCACTCTGGGAGGCCGAGGCGGGCGGATTGCTCAAGGTCAGGAGTTCAAAACCAGCCTGAGCGAGACCCCGTCTCTACCAAAAAATAGAAAGAATTAATTGACCAACTAAAAATATATATATCAAAAAATTAGCCGGCATGGTGGCAATGCCTGTAGCCCAGCTACTCGGGAGGCTGAGGCAGTAGGATCGCTGAGCCCTGGAGATGAGGTTGCTGTGAGCAGGCTGACGCCACGGCACTCACTCTAGCCTGGGCAACAAGGAGACTCTGTCTCAAAAAACAGAACAAAACAAAAAAAACCATCAAAGCTCAGCACACACTCACACTCTCCAAGCTCCAGGGCCTGTGCATGTGCGCGCGTGTGTGCACGCACGCACACACACAGTAACACACACAGTAACACATGCACACACAGTAGTGCGTGCACACAGTAACACACACACAGTAACATATGCACACACAGTAACACACACACACAGTAACACGTGCACACACACAGTAACACACACGCACACACAGTAACACATGCACACACAGTAGTGCGTGCACACAGTAACACACACAGTAACATATGCACACACAGTAACACACACGCACACACAGTAACACATGCACACACACAGTAACACACACGCACACACAGTAACACATGCACACACAGTAACACACACGCACGCACATAGTAACACACATGTACACACACAGTAACATACAGTAACACATGTACACACAGTAACACACAGTAACACGCACACACATAGTAACACACATGTACACATGCACAGTAACACACAGTAACACACATGCACACACAGTAACACACACGCACACACAGCAACACATGCACACACAGTAACACATGAACACACAGTAACACACATAGTAACACACACATGCACACACAGTAACACACACACATAGTAACACACATGCACACACGCACAGTGACGCACACACAGTAACACACACGCACACACAGCGACACACACGCGCGCACACAGCACCACACGTGGGTGTGTGCGACTCTGACGCCCCGGCGGCTCTGAAGCGCGGGCGGGCGAGGAGAGTGTGCTGCGGCCGAGCCGCCTGCTGTCCCTGCCGTCCTGAGACGGCCGTTTGTCTTGAAAGGGCGCGAGGCGGAGGCCTGGGCCCGGAGCCCCTGGCGCCCCGAGCAGAGCAGCAGGCGCACGGGAGACACGGCCCGGCGTGCGGCTCTCGTCACCGGCTGGGCATCGCACTCCCGGCCGGCCGGCAGCAAGCGCCAGGCCAGAAGAGGAGATGCCATCTGCTAACCCCGCGCTCCGGCCCGCACCGCGCGGGGGGCAGGTGCTGAGCCTACCGGGGCAGGCGCAGGACAGAGGGAGGCGCCCAGGCACCGAGGGAAGCGCGGCCACAGTCAGAGGCCTCACGGAGGCTCTTTTTTCTAAATTATTGATCCAAACACGTATGTAACATAAAACTTGTCTGTGCAGTGCCTTGTGGAGCGAGAGGTTTAGTGCTGTACCCTGAGCCGTGGCGGCGCCCGAGCTGAACTCTACTGAATAACTCTTGAGATCGGAGTTCAGAACTTTCCTAGTTGTTTCTCTAGTCGTTGTCATTCAAACATTATTGTTGAGCATCTTCTGTAGTGTGCTGTGTGCTTAGATGAAATGACTTGCATCTGCATAATAAAAGAAATGTTAATGCAATTATTGAGGATAAAGAATCACTTTGCTTCCAAGGTAAATATCAGCCTCCAACCAGAACACAGAACCCTCCAAATGGAATATTTTCAGCTTCTAACCACATTGACATCTGGTTATCCCTGGAGCACTAATATTCCTCCTTCCACATCTCCTTTTCATTCTTCCTCCCATCCTCTTCTTTTTCCTCTTATTACTATTAGTGTTGCTGTTTTGCTTTCTCTTAGAACTTGGCCCATCCTTTCTATTTTGAATATTCCTGGATTCACATAAAAACTAAGTTC